TAATATATATATATATATATATATATATCAGTTAGATTGTTTTAATTCTAACGCAATAACAATAAAAGTGTGGGTCTTACTACAAAGCAAAGATTGTAAGAAGGAAAATTATAAATTTCTTTTGTGTTACTGGTACTAGTAGTATTATGTACAAATCACACAAGTTTATCATTCTAAATACTGAATTATATTATTATGAACTAAATATAAAATTATGCTAAATTATTGAGCTTAAAGCTACAAATTTAAATTCAAAAGAATATAAAAAATCACAAACTCTTTCAGTTCAAAGTCCTAAGTCTAATTCATGTAAAGACTTTGCACTCGCCACTCGGTAACTCTTAACCCTAACATGTGGATCAACTTTCCTAAAAAATATATCTAATTTGAGTTAACTATAATGATTAATATAAACAGATATACGATGCAGCATGACTTAAGCTACTATATAAAAAAAATAAAAGTCACGTATATCCCATGCAGTTTTTTCCAGAAACAATTTTTCTAACACTTATAGAAAAGCCCTATTGGCCAGTACTAAATACAACCTTTACATAAAATGGCAGTTACTATAATAAGCACCACCCATATTTATATTGTAAAAATCCAGAGAACAACGTTTCATCATGTGCTTTCCTTATCATCCTATGATTTGTCAAATGGGAGATACAGCAATTGGAATAATTGGTACTGAAATTGACACTTTCGACTAGGATTGGCTAAAAGTTTTACAACTGAGGTATAACATGCCCAGATGCAGTTTTATAAAGAAAACAGACTAGAAAAAGGTTTAGCTACCAATCATAGATGGCAGGACCAGTGCTGAGGTGAAAGGAAATATCTTTAAAAAAATTTTGAAAAAAAACATTTCTTCTTAGAGGGCGCTTATTTACAGTTTAAAATGTATTTTAGGAATTTTTTCATTAAATTCCTCTTTAAACTTCATTAAATAATACAATTTTGTACAAATAATTGAATGTTATGCTACTATTTATAAAAATAAAATCAGAAATCCATTAAAAGATAAGTTCTCTATCATTTTTTCAATTCACAAATGATTTTGCCATCACACTTGCATTGCCTACTAAGAAAGTTAGTACCAGTAGTCATCGGGTTAACAGGTTGCAATTTTCACGGATTTGTTTGAATCTTACTACTGTTATAAGATACTTCTTTTCCTTTCAACTTTTGTCTGAAGCATATCACTGATTGCCTCAACAATTTGACAATGTACTGGGCCCTTTACTGGTCTCTACAATGACATGTTTGTCCTCTTCTTGCCTTGATGTTGTGGTTGGTCTGTTGCTGGGACTTGTTGAGTCGTGATGCCTTTTGTTGGAGGGTATTAACATACCTTTTTCTGCCTTTCGAGATTTACGAGAAGAGCCATTTATTCGGCCTTATTTATTTGCTGGAATTCAAGATTAGTTAGAAGGCAAAGTTGCTACAGCACGTTTGCAGTATTCATTATTGTCTTGGGCTGCTCAACTCTATCCTAGTTCAACTGGTACATCTGCAGGTTCGTCCCTTTGGGTCTCAAGGCCCCTCCTTCCACTCCTTGTTCCATTGGTTCTCTTAATCATTTCCATCCTTATTCTTGGGTAGTTTCGAACAGAGCACAATGGCACCAGCACCATTGGTGACTACCTATTTTTACTAAATCCTGTTGGAGGACGGTTACATCTCTTTCACCATATTTGGCATTCTTTCACCATCAGTCATTTGGTACTCAGACTGCTTGATTTGGGATTCAAGATTCAGTTTATTTCTCCTCCTTCTCTATCCTCCCTTCCAGTCATTTTTCCTCCTTCAAACCTCATTTATACGTCTTCGAGCCCGAGCCATTTAGGAGTTATTTCTCAAATGAGCCATCAAGAAGGTTGATCCCATTCATCCAGGATTCTATTCTCATCTCTTTCTGGTGCCCAAGAAAACTGGAGATTGGCATCCTATCATCA